AAAAAGGGTGTCCAGCAACAAGGGGGTGGTGCAATAGATTTGTGGGGTTGCAATACATCTGGGGCGTGCAATACATTTCGGGGCGCACATGTATTGCTGTACCTTCGCGTGCAATACATTACTTGCAGTACACTGCAATACAAATCTCTGGCGCAATGCATTCACAATACAGTTGCCCCAAATTTATTGCACCACCCCCTTTCAGCTGGACCCCATTTTGGGTCACCCAAATTATCCTGGCGAAGGACCCAACCATATGCAGTTGTGAGTATCGCAATTGTGAGTATATTCTTCGGTGGCGCTCCCTATGGGGCCACGAACCGCATGAGGGGTGTGCCGAAATGTGGCGGGGTACACAACGCAAAGGAATACGATAGATCTGATTACGAGAGAAAGAACGCGGGTGAGTCAGAGCGCGAGGAAATCTGAGTATGAATGGGTCTGCGCGCGAGTGAATATATTTGCACGAATGCGATCATGGAACCGCCTAGTGTAAGTGTCGAGCATGCCTGTCCGAACACACGTGACACTGGGCGTGGCCGCCGCAGGCAGCTTCCGCGGGAACCCCGACGGTAGCGTCCGCACGTCGCGACGCCCATGTCGGCACGCCTCTTGCGAGGATCGCGCCCGCTTTCGGCTTTTTTTTTCCTTCCTCTTTGCCCGCGCACTCCAAAATCCAAGGCTGCGGGCGCAGCGCAGCGCGGAGTCCCCGCGACGCGCGCTGGTCGCCCCGGGCGGGGTCCCAGCGACGCGCGCGGGTCGTCCGCTGCGCGAAGCAGAGAGAGCTGACTAGCTAACTGGCTGGCTGATAGAGGGCAAGTCTCTGACCGCTGGGCAGAGCGACGACGGGCGAACGAGGCGCCGGGCCCCCCGCAGCACGGAGTTCCCGCGACGCGCGCTGGTCGCCCCGAGAGGGTCCCAGCGACGCGCGCGGGTCGTCCGCGGCGCGAGGCCAAACCATTAGTCGGGCAGTCGAGAGAAGGCGCGGCTCGGGGGAGACGCTCCTCAGGTCAGGCCTCGCGGATGAACTCGGTGAAGCCGAGCTCCCTGGCGAGGGCCGTCGCTTCCCTCCTGCACCGCTTCGTGCGCGCCGCAAACTGCTCCAGCTGTTTCCGCAAGCCCTCCGGCGGCCCTGCCAGGAAGAACTCGATGCGCGGCGCCCGCATGAGCAGGAGGTCCTCGTGGCGCGTGGCGCGCGAGAGCAGCACGTAGAGCTCCAGCCACCAGTCGTCGCCCTCCTTCTTGCCGTCCCCTACCTCGTGGCGGCCGCAATCCAGGATCACGCCTGGGCGACGTCGACCGAGGGGGCAGCGTGCCGGGCAGCCGACGGCCCAGGGCGAGAGTCCACAGGACCGAGAGATGGTCTGGCCGCGGACTGCTCGCGCCCCGGAGGTCTGGCCGCCCCCGGAGCGCCGTTCCCCCGCCCCGTCGCCTTCGCGCATGGTGCGCCCCGGGCACGCCACCGTGGTGATGACCCTGCCGTGCGAGAAATGCGGGGGGGGTGCCGAAATGGGTGGGGGTGACGCATGCGGGCGGCGGCACTGAGGCCTTCGGTGGAGCTCCCTATGGAGCCACGAAACGTGTGAGGGGTGTGCCGAAATGGGTGGGGGGGACGCATGCGGCCGCGGGCACTGGGGCCTTCGGTGGAGCTCCCTATGGAGCCACGACACGTGTGAGGGGTGTGCCGAAATGGGTGTGGGGGACGCATGCGGCCGCGGGCACTGGGGCCTTCGGTGGAGCCCCCTATGGAGCCACGAAACGTGTGAGGGGTGTGCCGAAATGGGTGTGGGGGACGCATGCGGCCGCGGGCACTGGGGCCTTCGGTGGAGCTCCCTATGGATCCACGAAACGTGTGAGGGGTGTGCCGAAATTGGTGTGGGGGACGCATGCGGCCGCGGGCACTGGGGCCTTCGGTGGAGCTCCCTATGGAGCCACGAAACGTGTGAGGGGTGTGCCGAAATGGGTGTGGGTGACGCATGCGGGCGCGGGCACTGGGGCCTTCGGTGGAGCTCCCTATGGAGCCACGAAACGTGTGAGGGGAGTGCCGAAATGGGTGTGGGGGACGCATGCGGCCGCGGGCACTGGGGCCTTCGGTGGAGCTCCCTATGGAGCCACGAAACGTGTGAGGGGTGTGCCGAAATGGGTGTGGGGGACGCATGCGGCCGCGGGCACTGGGGCCTTCGGTGGAGCTCCGCTATGGAGCCCGAAACGTGTGAGGGTTGTGTGCCGAAAATAGGTATGGGGACCGCATCGGCCGGCGACCTGGGCTCGGTGGAGCTCCCTATGGGGCCACGAAACGTGTGAGGGGTGTGCCGAAATGGGTGCGGTGCCGCCATGCGAACGCAGCCACGGGGGCCCTCGGTGGAGCTCCCTATGGGGCCACGAATCGTGGAGGGGTGTGCCGAAATGGGTGTGCGGGGCGCATGCGGGCACACCCACTGGGCCTTCGGTGGAGCTCCCTATGCGGCCACGAAACGTGTGAGGGTTGACGAAATGGGTGTGGCTGACGCATGCGGGCGCGGGCACTGGGGCCTTCGGTGGAGCTCCCTATGGAGCCACGAACGTGTGAGGGGTGTGCCGAAATGGGTGTGGGGACGCATGCGGCCGCGGGCACTGGGGCCTTCGGTGGAGCTCCCTATGGAGCCACGAAACGTGTGAGGGGTGTGCCGAAATGGGTGTGGGTGACGCATGCGGGCGCGGGCACTGGGGCCTTCGGTGGAGCTCCCTATGGAGCCACGAAACGTGTGAGGGGTGTGCCGAAATGGGTGTGGGTGACGCATGCGGGCGCGGGCACTGGGGCCTTCGGTGGAGCTCCCTATGGAGCCACGAAACGTGTGAGGGGTGTGCCGAAATGGGTGTGGGTGACGCATGCGGCCGCGGGCACTGGGGCCTTCGGTGGAGCTCCCTATGGAGCCACGAAACGTGTGAGGGGTGTGCCGAAATGGGTGTTGATGACGATGATGATGGGAGGGGGGAGGAGGCAGCGGGAGGAAGGAAGGAAGGAAAACGCGGGGCACCGTCTCTTCAAAACGAGGACCCAACACCACAGGATGGTTGGGAAAAAAGAGGTGGGCGGAACCCGCGTGCCCAAAGCACGCGCAGTTCGTTCCTGGCTGGGCGCAGCTGTGGCCGCTGTACACCGCGAGCGCGCCCGCGTCGCTGGCCTTCGCGGCCTGGTGCGTCTGGGAGCGCCGCCGCTTCGAGTGCGGCTCGGCGTTGCACGCATGGACGCGGTGCTTCGGTGTATTCACACTGCTCCACGGGGTCGGCGCGCTGGCGATGCCAGGGTTCGGATGCGGCGGCGATCAGATGGCCGTGGCAAAAATCATCATCTACCTGTCCCTATTTGCCTCTTTCGCCACGGTGCTCGTGCAGTGGCATCTCCTGGTCCTGAGGCTGCGTAGGCTGGGGCGGCCCAGCCTCGTCTGCATCACGCAGACGACCCTGTGGCTATCTGCGGGCATCGTGACCATATTCTGCCTCGTGTCCGCCCTGCTTGCGGCCTTCGGCTCGTTCAACACGGCTGGCCTCATGGGCTCCTCAACCATGCCGACCACTGACGAGCCTGACTTGGAACAAGGCGTACATGGCATGATGGAGTTTGTAATTTCAGGGTTCATGTTCTTTTCGTTCTTCGCGCTGCGTGCGTGCCAGTTCGTTGGGTTCTGCTGCGGGGCGTGTGGGCTGCTGGCCGGCGCCGCGCGCGCCGCACTCTCAGGTCTCCGGAGGTAGGAAAGGGGTGTAGCATAGAGGCGTGTGGCGTCAATGCTGGATCTGGCGAGGTTGCCTATCGTAGATGACGTCGCCATTTCCACGATTGGCACCACACCCCTTAGTGCCACACCCCTTTCCGACCTCCAGAAGGTCGCATCGGGGCTGTGCAGGCGGCCGGGTGGGTGGGCATGGCGGGCGTCTTGACGCTCGCGTCCCTGTTCACGTCGCACAGGCTGTTCAACCGCATGTATGACACCAGCACTGCAGATCAGGAGTACCAGGAGGCGCTTGCACTTCCTTCGCTCAACCTCGTGTCGCCGCGTGCCGCCGCCTGGTCCGCCGCCTGGTTCGCATGTGCCGTTGCCTGGTCTTTCGACAGCGTCTTGAACTGCCTCACGGCGGCGCTCCTGTCTGGCCTGGTGGGACCGCCCAGGCTGCAGCGCCTGGCGGAGGAGGCCTTCGAGCAGATTAACTCGTACAGCGAGGGTCAGCTGCAGGCTTTCTACCTGGAGTACCTGGACTACCTGGACGCGGCGCAGGTGCAGTGGGTCAAATGCGGGTACATCAGGCGGTTGGCCGCGGCCGGGGACGTCATGAAGCGGTGCCAGGAGGTGCCTCGCGCCGAGGTGGTCGTCGGCCGCCAAGGCTTCCCGCACGCCAGGGGCGAGCCGAAGCATAGGTACGTCCTGTCGCACCCCTGGATGTCCAAGGATCGAGGCTTCCGAGATGGGGTCCAGCCAGATTGGATCGGAGGATCGCGCCGCATCGCCGATGCATCGGCGATGCAGATCGATGGTGGAGCCCAATTTTTTCTCCACGCCGACGGCGCCGGTGCATCGCTGGCGTCGCTGCGGCATCGCCGATTCATCGGCGGTGCATCGGCGATCCGGCGCGATCCCCCGACCGCATCTATTGCGACTCCATCTGGGAGGCCTCCTACAGGAGCACCCAGATCCGGAAGGGAAGAAACTGAAGATGTTGGCTCAGCAGCTGGACCTTTTGGGTGCGTCCGACTCAGACGCGATTTTCATTGACTACATGGGGCTCCCGCAGAACAATAAGCTGCACCCCGAGTATGCGGGATTCGAGCGGGAGGGGGGCAGTGTACCCAAGCCTGGCGAACATCCCGCTGTCCGCACGGTCGAGGAGGAGAAGCTGTTCAAGAGGGCCCTCGGTTCGATGGAACTTCTCTACAGCGTGGCAAAGGTTCCTGTCATCGTTTTGCCCATGGACGACGCCTTCGCCGATGCCAACTTTCAGTACATCTCGCGGGGCTGGTGTTTCTTCGAGTTCTCCCTCGCGTTCAGTTTCGGCAACATTGCCAACGCCGAGATTCATATCCCGGTGGGGCAGATGATCAAGAAGGCTGCCGAGTTAAATTTGGACACCGTGGAGGGCTTCAAAGAGGGGTTCAAGAGCACGCATTTTACCAGCAAGGGCGACGATACAGTGGTCTATCAGTTGTTCACCCAGACTCTGAACAAAAAGCCAGAAGGTCAGCAGCAGCACATTGCCGCGATCGCCAGCACCCGCATCCAGTGCCCCCATTGCCAGGCAGTCAACGAGGTCAGGGCCGCGGCTGGCCAACGCATCATCTGCGGGCAGTGCCGAGGGGAATTCAGCACCCGCATCCAGTGCCCCCATTGCCAGGCAGTCAACGAGGTTAGGGCCGCGGCTGGCCAGCGCATCACCTGCGGGCAGTGCCGAGGGGAATTCGCCGTACCGCGCCTGTAAATACAAGCTGCGCCTCGCGCTCCCATGCGTCTCATCAGCAGCCCCCCGTGCTCCTTTTCCCAAATCGCCTCCAATCATGCCCCTCCTCTCCCCTGCACTCTTTTGTTCCAACCGCTTCGAATGCTCACTTGCTTGAGACATTAATTTGTGAAGTAGTGCCACATGCCTTGCAGCAGCAGTGATGTGTGCGCATTATGTTTGCAGCCGAAATGCCAATTTGAACGCTGACGTATGGTAGGGTGTGCTTGTGCACTCTGGGAGTTGCACTAGTTTGCTGATGCGTGCGATTGTGCTGGTAGGTTGTGCTTGCGTTTTCGTGGATACTCGTGCGATGGGCTGCGAGGGGATGCTTAGTGAGGTGAGGGGGAGGTCCAGTAAGGTGGCCCGTTGTAGTGTTGCTATCCTGTGTGCTTTATGTTGTAGAGTTGTGCACTGTAGTCTTCATTGTGAGACATGTTGGGCCACCTCGGACTCGTCTTGAGGCAATGCGTTGCCACCTTGATGCATTGCGGAGCCACCCTGGGTGTTTTCTTTAAGCGTCCTCCGTGTGGGCAGCGACGTGAAGCCTGCTGCTGGGCTGGGATCCTGGGCAAACGCACCAGGCCCACAGCCCAGCAAGACAGCCTGCAGAAGCAGCCAACCAAGACCCAAGCCGCATTCGCGGCACAAGGGTGGCAGAGGGTGGGTTACGGCGCTCCCGTCCTGCGGGGGCCGCCTCGGTCCCGCCGCGGCGTGCCGCCAGCTCCCTACTCGTGCGGGAAGCTGGGCCCCCCTGCACCTCCTTGCAGAGAGGCTTTCCCCTTCTGCGGGAGCCTTCTCCCGTGCCTTGCTGGACTCTTGCCCGAGCCGTTGACCAGCCAGCCAGCCAGGAGGAAGGTGGAGGCGAGCGGGAGGTGAAGCCGCTCGGGCGTGTGAGCCGCACGCCCCCTCTTGGAAGCAACGAAGCATAGGGGAGTTGCGCTTGCAACCCACGGCGCTCCACGGCGCATTCATAGAGAATTGCAAAGAGGCAAAGAGGCCAGAAGGCGAAGAGGCACTCATTTGGCACCGGTCACCTTGGGAGATTTTCCCCTATTTCGAGGTTTACGAAGAACTTCGGTCTTGTAAACCAGCTTTCTAACATGTTTTTTTACTTCTTGGTTGGTTTACAAGTTTTTGAGCAGGTTTACAAAACCCAGTCGGGTCTTGTAAACCTGTATCGATTGATCCAGACACCGGGTCTTGTAAACCTGCTTGGGGTCCTGGCATATCTTACGAGAGACTAACTAGGGAGCGCCAGGGAGCGCCAGGGAGCGCCTGGGAGCGCCTGAGAGTGCCTGGGAGCGCCTGGGAGCGCCTGGGAGCGCCAGGGAGCGCCTGGGAGCGCCTGGGAGCGCCTGAGAGTGCCTGGGAGCGCCTGGGAGCGCCTGGGAGCGCCTGGGAGCGCCTGGGAGCGCCTGGGAGCTTGAGAACGCCTCGGAGCGCCTGAGATCGCCTGAGATCGCCTGAAACCGCTTGGGAGCGCCTGAGACCGCCTGGGAGCGCGATTCCGGGCCAACTCCAGGCAGACACCATTCTTCTGCTTTACTTGAATCGTTCATCCATGGCCATTTGCATCAGCTGCGTGCTAATTCTGAATATTTTACTGTACTTTCCATATCCACATGCTTGTATTCATTTGCTTTCTTCTTTTGTGTGCATCCGCTGCTGGTCTGAGAATTGATATGTCAAATAATGGATTTTCGCAGTGCCCCTACTGTCAATTATGGGTCCCGGACGCGCGAGTAATGACACATTTGGCGCGTCATCCAGGATACATGGAGCAATTCATGGTAAGCACATCCGCGTCGTCAACGTCAGCAGTTGTTCCACAGCCAGTCGCTGCGATTCAATTTCCACCACCACTTCCACAACCAATCGGTGCGATTCAGGGCTCATCGCCGGTCGCACCTCCGACAGCGCTTCCCTTGCCTCTTGCAGACCGGGAATCTCCAACAGCAGTGGATCAAATAGCTCCGGGATTCCACACATGCACGGGCAAGACCATGCAGCAGGTTTTGACGTGGGTTGACAGACGGGGCGAGGCAGGATGCCTCGCGGACCTACTATCTTTTGGAATTGTGAGGCCATTGGGCATGTGCGGATGTCATTCGTCGGGCCCCGTCTTGAGACCAGGAGTTCGGTCGAGCCAAAGCAAAAAACACTCAAAACCAATAGCATGTGCTCGGTGCCCCCGTTGCGATAACAAGCCGTCGGTTTCATTCATTGGCACTCCTTTCGATCTCGAGAAGAACAAATTATCACTCAAAACGTATCTTCGATTGGTTTGCCACTGGCTTGACGGCACAACCATGGCTGCTGCAGCTCATGCTGAGAGTATCTTCCGCGGGACAGTTTCAGATGTATTCAGAAAGCTGCGAGAACCAGTCGTTCGGTATGAAATGAACCGCCCAATCCTTGAAGATATGGACATTGTTGTTGACCTGACATTCGGACCACACCGGCGCGTCGCGCACTACGGTGCGCCAGCACGGCCCAGAAAGATCGATGCTATTCCGTTTCAGATTGTGATTGGGTTTCGCTGGGAAAATGGTGCTAGGCGTTTCTTACCCAAAACTCTTCGAACAAATCACGTACCAACGAAAAACGCAACCTTCAACGCGGATGTACTTGGGACGGTTGCTGCGCATTCGTGCCGCGTGACGTGCGATCAGGGCTCAGAATTCAGCAGGCTTCCACGCAGATATTCTTGCGTCAAGACCGTCAACCATTCCGTAGAGTGGGTGACAGAGGAGGGCGTCAGCAGTAATCTCGGCGAAGCATACAACGGTATGTTGAAAACAGTGGGCACACAATTGCAATTATCCCGCGGAAAAGTCAGCTTAGATGAAATGATCAAACGCTGGCAAGAGCTTGCCTGGCGGGTGAACGAAGGCATCCATAGAAGGTCGACGCCTCTCGGCGATAAATTGTTGGTGTACTTGAGTTTACTTCTGAACGAGCAGCGGGCATCTGGAACACAGGATCCGTTTGTGCCCCCTCTCCCACGTAGAAGCGTTCTTTTGGACAACATTGGAGCGCCCGAGGCTCCTGTTCGGATTCGGCGGTTCCCCAGAAAAACGAGCAGTAAACTGAGGGAGTTATGGCGCAAGCTCCGAGCGTGGATTAAATCTGCTGAAGAAGAGCTGCGATTGCCAGGCTTGAATGCGCAGGAAAGAGCATACTGCCACAATTGGTGCAATGCGTGGGTGGGCATCTCGCACGCATCGAGCGGGGCCGATCCGAACCGTGTTCTTGTTCTCACTCGTGGCCGCGCTGTCTTTCGCCGTCAAGTACGCATTCAGGGCGAGGACGACCAGGAGGACGCCACATCTGATGGCGAAGAGGGTGATTCAGAGGCATCCTTTGAATGCGTGGACGAGAAACCAAGCAGGAAGCATACGGCGGCCAGGAAACGACCAGCTGCTGCGACGGCTGCGGATTCGGTCTCCGAAGAGCCAGGAGCGAGGAAACGGCCAGCTGCTGCAACTGGCGCTGCTCCCCCCAAACGGCCAGACACACCAGCATCAGGAACAGATAGTCTGGCTCGGATCGAGTCTCAGACAGGTGTGGATTGCTTGCGCCATGCGATTAATAACATATTGCATTCGTGTGGCGGCAAACTTACCGCAAGCCCAGAGCAATTCTTGCAAATGGCACAGCAGCTTCAAACAGACGAGGACACGCTGCGCGACGAGGGCGATGGTGAACGCTATTACGACCGAGATGGATATTTGATCGAAACGGCTACTGGTTGGTTTCAGCATCACCTGCCTTGCTGCCGCTTGCAGCACTCGGCAAGCTGCGAACTTGGTGATTCAGAGTGCGTGATTGGCGTTTTGTGTCGTCCACAATCACGTGGTCGCAAACTCGGTCATTATATATGCTACAGGTCGACTGCTGTTGAATCCTGGGAGAAAGTAGACAGTGTAGGACCAACAGCCACTCCTAGCACGGCTGAGCGCGCGCTTGCTTCAGATGACACCAAATGGTTTGTGATTCGCCTATTGCATCCAACAGCGGAGCCTTGCCCACATCTCAATGACGACCACATTTCTGGACCGCATCTCGAGTCTCGTGCAGCTTCGCAGAGAGTGGTGGATCGCAGCAGCGGCAGCAAACCAGGTCTCCTGAGTTTCATTAGGAACCATAACGAATCGAAATGAATATTCTCCCGATTTAGATTGAATACATATTATGATTGTGGTGGTTGCTTGCATTTTCTCAGCCAGCCTCTGAAAACAAATTCTACTCGAGCTGGCGCTCAATCCGACGTTTACTAGATCGTGACTGCGTGTGGGCATATACCAATCATGCTCAAGATTGCTGTCTGGGCGTTTGTGTGCCAGATTGGTTCTGGACGTTTCCGTCCTCAGATTGCCGTTTGCTGTGTTTCTGCGCTGAGATTGCCATGTCGGGCGTTCTTGTGCTCAGATGCCATTTCGAGCGTTGTTGTGCTCAGAATGCTGTTTCGGGCGTTTCTGTGCTCAGATCGCTGTTCTAGGCGTTTCTATGTTCAGATTGCCGTTCGGAGCGTTTCTGTGCTCATATTGCTATTTTGAGGCGTTCCTCCAAGAGAGCGCGAAACAACTTCGGACTGCAATTCTGGGGGCGCGTGCGCAGTTCGGCGCGAAACCCAGCTCAGATTGCAATTCTGGGCGCCCTTGAGACACAGCGCAGACACGGGCTCAGGTTGCAATTCTGGGCGCGCCTGCGTCGGGGAGCGCGGAAACGTGCCCAGAATGCAATTCTGGGCGCGCCTGCGTCGGGGATTGCGGTGACGTGCTCAGATTGCAATTCTGGGCGCGCCTGCGTCGGGGAGCGCGGAAACGCGATCAGATTGCAATTCTGGGCGCGCCTGCGTCGGGGAGCGCGGAAACTAATTCAGATTGCAATTTTCGGCGGGATTGCGAAATCCAGCCCAGAATGCAATTCTGGGCGCGCGTGCGAGGGCGGGCGCAACAACCAGCTCACTCGAAAGAGCGCGGAAACGTGCTCAAATTGCAAGTCTGGGCGCGCCTGCGTCGGCGAACGCAGGAACGGGCTCAGATTGCAATTCTGGGCGGGCGTGCGCGAAGACCAGCGCAGATTGCAATTCTGGGAGCGCCTGCGTCGGGGAGCGCGAAACCCAGGTTCGTTTGCAATTCTGGACGCCCCTGCTCGAACGAGCGCGGAAACGGGCTCAGATTGCAATTCTGGGCGCGCCTGCGTCGGGGAGCGCGGAAACGAGCTCAGATTGCAATTCTGGGCGCGCCTGCGTCGGGGGGCGCGGGAACGGGCTCAGATTGCAATTCTGGGCGCGCCTGCGTCGGGGAGCGCGGAAACGTGCTATGATTGCAA